ACACTAATTATTTGGGAAATTTAGAGTTTATTTAAACAGAAAAAAAATAGGCAAAATAGTAAATCATGTTTTTGTGAGGATTTGCAAGTTAAAAACATATCTTGCACGACAAATCTTTTTCTTTTTTTCGATAACCGGGAAAGTCAGGAAAATTTCAGTTAAAAGTCTCCTTATAGTATGAAACAAAAAGATAACGATTAGTTTTAGCTGACCTGACGGACACTCAAATATTTACACTGGGTAGGGGGGGGACTTCAGTTTTAGAATTTTCAAATACTAAAAAGATGTTCTGAAGGTACAGCATATGACAATTAGAAAAACAACAGAAGTAGTAGTAGTAAAAAAAAGTGGGGGGACCCTCTTAATATTTCCCCACGGCTAATCCAGTCTTGATTTTCTACGGCTTATCACTCCTTTGCAGATTATTTAAAGCCAGAAAATATTTTTAGATCGAGAGAATTATTTTTTTTTTTAGAGAGAGAATGATTTAATGATACAAGTCTTACTAATTAACCCATAGCTGGAGTGAGAAGAGGTGGAGTCATAGCGAACCCAACGGGAATTGGAACTCTGCTCTCCGATTAACAATTCCGAGCAATTATCCATTACACCACCGGCACATCCAAGCTTACAGCACCTGATATTCCGCAGCGGTCAACCATTTACGTACTGACCAGGCTCAACGTCGTTTAACTTTGGTGATCCTACAGGAACCAGTCAATCCAATCTTCACACCCGTAATTAATGGGGCTCCCAGGAACGCTTTTCCTATTGGTAATCAGAAAGAACGGTCTTGTTCGTCCAATGGACACTTTCACTTCTCCACTTTTTATTTCATCCCACCGGACGGTTTCTCAGATAAAACGACGCGTAATCAAATAAGAAAATTAAAGCAAGCACCTATATAGCGAGACTGACTACTTCGGCCTGGTGTAATGGTCAGCAAGATTGTCACGCTAGAATCAATTACGAGCGATTAACGAGTTCGATCTTCATAGGGTGCTCCCATGCTTTCGGCTTTATGCCACAAGCTACACTACACTTACTAAAATAACCTATCTGACGAGTTACACTGACGCCACCAGTTAATGGAGCCCAGTTAAAAGCAATGGTTTTAAGTGCTAATTTTCAAAGAAGGTAGACATTCCCCATTTAAGATAGATGCAACAAAATATGTCTGCTCATTTTGGAGCGGTTTTATTGCGTATTTGCTGTTAATACTAGTTATCGGTGTCCGATCCCAGCTATAAGCTAGATTTTCGAATATTATGTCGAATACTGACAAGGCAATCTAAATGCATCAATTACTCTCTTTGGGTAAGATCGCGTCTAGTTATCTCTCAGTTGCGTCTCTGTCTTTGGACAGAGTGCGCTCAGGGGCTACTCTGTCAAATGACAGAGGGGCAACTGAGGAAAATTATACTGAGAGGTGCCTGGCCCTGGGGAACAGCTGCCCGAGGCTGCGCCTTCTCATTGCACTAGAGAGAAGGATCGGTGCTAGCACCGTGGCCAGCGCAACCGACGATTGCGGGGGCTCGGGGAATTTTTGTTCCTTGCCCGGGTGCACGCGCTCGGGCTCCCCACATTAAACTGACCTTGTGTCACAACCTGACCTCGTAGGGAGTTGAGTAAATATCTACTGACAACGCAATCTAACGATGCTAACAATTTTTTGCCTTACTTCCGGTTTATGTATTTCTATCACCAGACCTCCTGCATATATTTTTTATCTTTGAATATTTTTTCTTCCAACAAATTTTTATTGAGATGTTTTCAACGTCCTATTTTCCTAAACTGTTTAGATTATTGTAGTATTAAAAAGTAATTGAAATCTCTCTTCCACCCCTGTTGAGCCTGGAACAGTCGACCGTAGATATAAGCAATTGATTTTTTTCCACGTGTATTGATAAAGTGGAATAAAGCTTATCCTTAAGTTTACTCGGGCTTTCTGTTTTCATTAGATTTATTTAATCGGCCAACAATAATGCTGGTGTCTCATACAGTGATGCAAGCATCATCACCCCCTCGATTTTAATGAATACGATTCTTGTTACATCTGTACCTGTCAACTTTCGAGAGACGATCAAGTTGGGGTGGTGCGCCTATCCAATCCCACTGGGATTGATTAAATACCACTAGATCCTATTGTAATAAACTACCATCATTATACCATTTCGAATTCATGTACACTACAGTTCAAAGGTTTGAGGTTACCCTCTGGTAATTTTTAAATTGATTAAAAAAAAAAAAAAAAAAAAAAAAAAAGTTTTTTTTGTACTTTAAATATGAGAAAATTATTGTACATTATTTAAAAAGTGGGACATTTTTATTAGAAATTTTATGACAAAAAGAAAATAAGCGTATTATGATTAAATTTTACTCTCGACAAAATATCCCCCTTTGATTACTATAGCACAAATCTTTGGCATTCATTGGAAAAGTTTTTTAGGGTAATTGTTAATTGATTCCATTCATTTTTCAATGACTGTTTTTTTTTTCCACTCTTCTGTTAAGTTTATCCCATGCTAATTCTGGGGGTGGCTTCAAACTTCTGAACTGTAGTGTACCTCTAATTACCTTTGCGACTTTTTAACAAATATCAGCTGGATGTATCATTTTACATCTAATCACTGGAAAACGAGAACCAAACTGATTAGACTTATATAACAATGACGGATCTGCACTTGAAATTCAAAGACTCCACGGCTAGGAGAAAAAAAAAAAGGCTACACAACCAAATAAAGCGGAAGTGTTTTGAACACTCCTCTTTTTTCACAGACACGGGCGCAACAATTATCCAGGAGTCACTCAAAAGCCAATTACAACAACTATCACCAAATAACAGTTAATACAGGGTCATTGCAAGGGTCTCGTTATCCCTCCATCTACGAATCTGTGATATAGGGCCCCCACTCTATTAAGTTTCATACGTAATATTCATATATAAAATACATGTTTTATTGTAACCTAATTATGCACAATACAGGATCATATGCAATATAGGTGAACAATTTAACTAGAAAAATTAAAAATAAATATAATGTCTCTAAATGCAAATTACATCAGAGATCATTCCATCTTAAATAAATCAACAATGTTTTGCGACCAATTTTAACATCAACTTAAGATTTTGCTTCTTAAAAAGTTGAATAATTTTAACATTTTCAACATTATGGATAAAAGACAATAGTAAATTTTACATCATTTTTGAGACTTAGCATGGGCAAATGCATTCATGACTTCTTCACAGTCGAGGTCTTATACAACCATTTTTTTTGTTGTTTTTTTCAGGCACCAATAAAAGTCATATCGACAACTAATTTGTGCATTTTTTTTTTTTTTACTAATCTTGAAATCAAATATGGTTCCCGAAATATGCCACAATGTGAATGTAGGACAATATTGAACATTTTTTGATAGTTCAACGTTTCATAAATTTGTTTTTTTTTTTTCTTTTTACTTTGTTTTATAAATTCCATGTTTTTTGTTTTGTTTACAGCAAACAAACATTGATGCGAATGTAGCGATTTTAAGTCAAAGCTTTGAAAGATCTTTATTGACCACGACGTTCAATGTCAATATTCTGCATAAAAAATGATATAACGCGCACATAATCTCTCTCTCATATAACATGACAGAATTTACCCTTTAATTTTATATTGGGCAAATAAAAACGCTTTTATTAACTTTAAGCTGAAGTTTAAATTTGATAGAGATGAAGTCATGTGGGTCAGGTGACAGCCGCTTAGTGACATCACTTCATAGTCTGATGAAAGGGGTTAGTTCGTCAATCAGCTTCCACGAGTCAAACCGAGCAGTTGCATCTTTTTTTTTTTTTTTTTGGTTAGCCCGGGTTGAGGCTAAATCTGCCTCCCCAACCAGCTGCCACTTAGTGCATCTGACAAACACATGGTGTCCTTTTCCTTTGAGAAATATCTTCATATATAGAAACTATATCCGGCATAGTCTTCCTATTGGTAAAACCCATGACGCTGTTTTTCCTGTTCGCGGAAAACATTCTCGCTAGTCACATGGCAGATAAATATGACCGCTCACATCTGCATTCCTGAACACGGCTTCTCCAGAAACGCAGAAGAATCTCTAGCAGCTACAATTCCCGTTGGAAATTATTACAAGTAAGACCCAATCTTTTCAATGCCTTTTCACACTGCTTGCCGCGCAGACAGTTTCTCTGTGTGGGACAAATGTAAATATGTGTATATAATAGAATATATAAGGGAATAAACTTTTCTACCATAGCTCAACCATAATACAATATAATATTCATTCCCATAAAAAGAAGGGAAACGTAATTTGGGTACATAGATTCTGCATGGCAAGATAAAGTGCATGTGTTTCTGTGTGAACAATAATCTGACTATAGTTTTGTTTTAAGGAAGAGAGGTTGGACGCAGGGAATTTTAGATTCACTGCGACTTTAAAAAATAAGGAAAGAATCATTAAAAAATAAAACAGGCACTGAGACACTGCTCTGTACAAATAGACATTTAGATGTACGAGGAAATTCGAAAAATAAACAGTCTAATTTCTCTAGGTTTCTGTTCGTAACAACGTATGTAAATTGCACTACACCGCAGTTAAACTGAATTTGCTTTCATAGATGTGTCCGATTTAAAGCCTTAGATTTACAAGTCACATTGAAGACACCTGTTTCTGTAAGTTAATGTCGGGCGTAGATGACAGACCAGGAATACGCGGTACTATAAATAATGGCAGAGGACATATCATCGCATTAACGACTCTCACACGTGTCTTATCATCAAGACTACGCGCAATCTAGAGAGACACGCACGCGCAATCTAGACAGACGCGCAATCTAGAGAGACACGCACGCGCAATCTAGACAGACGCGCACGCGCAATCTAGACAGACACGCAATCTAGAGAGACACGCACGCGCAATCTAGACAGACGCGCAATCTGACAGACACGCACGCGCAGACAGACACGCAGACAGACACGCACGCGCAATCTAGACAGACACGCACATCGACAGACGCGCAATCAGACAGACGCGCACGCGCACCCAGACAGACGCGCACCCAGACAGACGCGCACGCGCAATCTAGACAGACGCGCACTAGACAGACGCGCACGCGCAATCAGACAGACGCGCAATCCAGACAGACGCGCACGCGCATCCAGACAGACGCGCACGACAGACGCGCACGCGCATCTAGACAGACAATCTAGACGCAATCTGAGACAGACGCGCACGCGCACAGACAGACGCGCACGCGCATCAGAGACGCGCAGACAGACGCGCGCGCGCAATCTGACAGACGCGCACGCGCAATCTAGACAGACGCGCAATCCAGACAGACGCGCACGACGCGCACAGACAGACGCGCAAATCTAGACAGACGCGCAATTCAGACACGCAGCGCGCAATCTGAACAGACGCGCACGCGCAATCTAGACAGACGCGCAATCGCAATCTAGACAGACGCGCAATCTAGAGACGCGCACACGACGCGCAATGGTCTTTAGACAGACGCGCACGCGCAATCTAGACAGACGCGCAATCTAGACAGACGCGCACGCGCAATCTAGACAGACGCGCAATCTAGACAGACGCGCACGCGCAATCTAGACAGACGCGCAATCTAGACAGACGCGCACGCGCAATCTAGACAGACGCGCAATCCAGACAGACGCGCACGCGCAATCAAAATCTAGACAGACGCGCACGCGCAATCTTTTTTTTGAACAGACGCGCAACAGACGCGCACGCGCACAGACAGACGCGCAATCTGACAGACGCGCAATTTAGACAGACACGCAATCTAGAGAGACACGCAATCTAAGAGACAAAATCTGACAGAATCATAAAAAGACTTGATTCTGTAAAAAAGTCTTTTCGAAGGCCTATATTCTTACTAATGGTCTTGCAAACATCCCAATCTGGAGATTCAGATCAGCATCCCCGCCCACCTCTACCCATGCAAGGACCGAGGTTTTTGATAAAGAAAATCTGTCAAATAAAAGACAGAATTGTTCGAAATGGCCCACAAAAAATGAGATGAAACTGGAACAGGCTTTTAGAAAATGAATCCGTGAAGGAGAGACTAGAAGAAGTGAACAGAAAAGGTCAAAATTGTGCACACCGTTGGTATTGACAATGATACTGAGGAAGGTACAAGAGATCTGAGGAAAATGGCTGTAACTAGAGACGAAAAGTCTGATGCCAGCACGCAAATGCATGAAATAGCGTTAAGTTTTAGAAACATTTACATGCATTTACAATTGTTTCTCTGTGTATTTAAGCTTGTGTTCATGGGCATAACTTGATAGGCAAAATATCCCCTTAAAAATAAATAGAAAAATAAGATATGTGTCCATTGTTCTTTGTAAGCGTTGGCCTTGAAAGAAGACGCCCATCCATTATAATGGAAGGCGGAAAAAATTAACTTAATTCCTGCCTTACTGAGAGAAGAAAAAAAGCATACTTAACGAGAAGTTTTAATATAAAAACACGCGCGCGCGTAATATATATCACGCACATATACATACATGTTCGTATACCCACACTATACATATACAGGGTGCGATGAATAAATTATCTAAATTACGCAAAAATGAAAATAACACTGACATCTCATTTTAACAGATATATTTTTACCAGAATTACACAAAAATATCTCCAGGCGACTTCGGAATCTCCTGCAACTCTTCTGGGTGATCTTGTTTAAGTTGATGAATGATGCCATAATCTTTACCATCAGTTCATCTTTGGTGTTACAAGGAATTTTGTTGGTCTCTCGCTCAACAGCGCCCCAAACATAATCAAAGGAATTGCAGTCTGGGGAGTTAGGTGGCTAGATATAAGGGGTGGTCTGGTTGTAGAAATTGTCGCAGACAATCATGACTGGGTTCTACTTGTGACGTGGTACAGAGTCATGTTGCCAGACATAGGGTCTTCCAGCAGCCAACCTCTTTACCCAGGATAGCACTGCCTCCTCAAGGCAGTTGATGTAGGCCTCCGTGTTGAGTCTGAGGCCTTGTGGGAAGATGCATCGAAGCATAACGTCGCCATCAGCAGTGATCACTCCAAACACCATGATGTTGACTAGATATATCATCCAACTATTTCCGAATCCTTTGCACTGTTCTTAGATTGACTCCCAAACACACTGAAATTTTGGTACTAGAGTTTCCGGTGTGAATGCCAAGCAATACAGTATGCCGTTTCGAAATTTCCGAGTGAATTACGTCATGGTTCATTTTTTTTTTTTTCTCACAGACTGTGCCCAACTGACCCTACTATATTATGCAGTTGACAAAATCGAAAACAACGCGCTGCACGAAATTAAAAATATAAAATGGCAGCAATTTATCCATCGCACCCAGAAGGATACTCCACTCGGCGTTGCTCAGAATAAAAAGATAAAGCAAATGTTAAAAGAACTTCTGACATTTTGACTAAATTTTAAGAATAGAATGGAGGTGCGAAAGGATGGAGGTTGGTTTATCTTCCGGGCTCCTATCATACTAGATTTTTGCAAAGAAATGACTTTTAATGAACAAACCTGATCCCACCCAACCTTGGGATAATATTGACTGTATTTTGTGTAGCTGTCGATGTCCATTTCTCTTCAATCATGGCTTCTATTGACCTCAAATAAGTTTGATGGGTGACTTGTAATTAAGATCTTTCAGTTCTACAATTAACTGAGGCTGCGCCTGGCTGGGGTAAAGAAATACACATATAGAAACTTCAGAATAATGATATACATAAAACAGGCATGATATAAAAAACATACCAACTGCGTACAGATGAACACGCACACATATACATACCTCTGTGTGTGTGTGTGTGTGTGTGTGTGTGTGTGTGTGTGTGTGTGTGTGTTGATGTTTGTGGATTTTTTCATTTACCCATGTTCAAAAACTATAAATATTTTAGGGGAGTGCTTAAAAGTTATCTGCCATGTACACATTCGAAATTCCGAAGAGAATTTCATTTTTAAAGGGCTTTTTAGTCTTATATAGAAATATATGAAATCTTTCCTTGCTATAATTTTACATGGATAGACACGAACGTTGCATAAGCTTATATACAACTATGCACCTTTATTATTTGACGTAAATATGAGAGGAAAAAAAATTATAGAAAATTTTTTATATACTAGGAATATAAATTCAAACGTTTAAAATTTTAACGTCACCTCTCGTTCGTGCGCATGCGTAGTCACATCAATGTAAACCACACTTTAGTTTGATGAAGTCGTAAAGGACGAAACTAGTAACACGAAGGAAATATTGAGCATTGTCAGATTTTCCTAAAATCGTTCAAATATATTTTTTTAAAAAATTATTTATATATTTTCCCCATTATACTGACGTATAAAGAAAAAGTGGAAAGAAAATTTTACGCCATGAAACGTAAAGTAAATAAATAAACGCACAAATAATAGATACCTGAACTCCTGGGTGACCTAAAATTGAGCTAAAATTAATAAAGAAAGCAACTCATCCCCAAGTGCCAGGATTAGTAAGATGGTGTACGGGATGGTTTCAGATTTACGTTTACCATTACAACCAAAAATAGATCGTTCCTATTAAACCTTTTGTGAGCAGAAATTGCATCAAGAAAAGTCATTACCATTAATTTATATGCGAACATTTGTAGCATGAGATTATTCTATTATTTGGGTTACTTAACAAAAGTGATAACAATATAAACAAAAAGAAACTAAATTAAACTGGCTAGACTATACATCCAAACGCATATATATTTTTAAATTCATCTAAAAGTTGAACATTTCAGCGTCTAATCTCGTTCGAACGCATGTGTAGTCAGATCAACATAAACATCACTTTAGTCCGATGAAGTCCACAAGGATGAAACGTGTCACACAAAAATATTTCCCACTTTGTCACCGACATAAATATACAATATTTGTGAGAATTCATTGTGAACAACCAGCAATAATATGCCCGCCCAACACCCGGACGTGTGGCAATTGTATGTAACCCAGTGCGAGGTGACAATATGTCTGACTCCGTGGGTGGGGTCGATATTGCTTTGTCTGACTAGAAATATTTTGACTTCACATAATTCGGTTATCTTAATTGTCGTGCCTATCGTTCATTATATAATTTCATGCAGTAACGCTTGCTTTCAGAATCGATTTGATTCCTGGTTTTAAATTCTGTTAAACTATTTCATCTTAACCTTGTGAATTAATACTAAGGTAGTAAATAATAATTATCTCTAATTCAGTCACTATCTACCACCGTGACGATACTTCCCTCTTTCTTTTCTATAAATATTTTCATAGCAGTTCTGACATCGTCTGTCTTCCTAGATCATGTTCTTTTATTGTCCTTTTTCCTCACTAGTCTTCTCTTTCAATTCCTTTGCGTCTTAGTGGGTTTGTTGCCTTTTTTGGTTGGTGAAATGATTAAAAATAAAGTATCGAACGGCATCTTTGAGCCTCTGTGCGTACCGAGAAAAATTACACGAAAAGTGTCGTTCTTACGTGTGGGATGCTGAAAAAAAATCTTACTTCCTAAATTCAATATTTGGGCATTCATTTTATCAAATTCGCCGAGAGCAATAGTTTTTCAGCACTCGCATAAAAACAGCCATATTGTACATTTTTATATGATAAAAATATAGTTTTAAGGTATGCTATATTTACGGGTTAAAATGCTCAATATCAGGGATAGATCGTATGTAAATATAGAAATGGACATTGAAGTCAACACCCAACGGCGACAGTGTTTCATGCTTAAATAGTCGTCAAGCCAATCGCTTTTGTGTTCATATAATCTTATTTAAATTCCATGAAAAGGAGAAATACATTGAAAATACTTTCAATTTCCAATATTCTATTTCATATTCACAGATCGAGACATCGATCTGAGAGAAGAAATTTAATTTTTTTTATTGCATTATTCCAAAATTTTAACACATCAGCAGATAGCTATTGATGTCAAAAACTGAGCACAAATAGTTATTAATTAAAAAATTAGTAATTAATGGATAATATTATCCCTAACTACATGTACAAGAATGTCGTTTTTGATAAAAGTTAAATAACCATAAATACGTAAAAAATGCGTATATTTAAGAAAATTCCTTTTTCCATAATATAGTTATTTGTGCTGTTATAATGCTTATTACCTAAACAATAATAATACTAAATAATTTTTTTGAACAAAGTATATTTAATCACATCTCCCCAAATAGCTGTCGCGATCTGTCAATGCGAAAGAAAAGGCTCATAAAATATTCCTAAATAGAAAAGCGGTCATTCCTAACAAACGCAAAGAATGAAAAATATCTAGTTAGTTCTACCCACGATCGCATGTATAATTGAAAAGAATTTATCTAGACAACATAAAATGTGT